CTCTGTGCTAATACCCTGGGAGAAGTTGTGCAGAAGGGCTGGAGTCCGTCACTGCCCCGCTCCCGCCTCGTGGGGGCCTCCCTGCACCCTGTGGGATTGTCTTCCTGAGGGCTAAGTGAGGACGCTTTTCCACAGCGCCTAGCATGGAGTCTGGCAAACAGTAAGCACTAAATAAAGGTCACGTGGTTGCTGGCCACTGCTTGGAGCTTTCTTCCATCCGTTCCTTTATTCATCCAACAGATACCTACTACATGTACCTATGGAGTGCCTACCACATATCAGGCCTGGGGACACGGAGGGAACACGACAAAGGGGTGCCTTCAAGGAAATTCTAGTGTAGAGGGGCGGGGGGTGGGTGTGGTCCAGGAACAGACAAGAGACAAGTAAGTCTGAAATGGCAGGAGAGCTACGGAGAAAACTAAGATGGGGAGGCTCTGCTCCTCCTGGCGGGGCCTATATAACAAATTATAATCGTTCTAGTACTCACTGCCGTTTATCTAAGCACCGACTCCGTGCCAGGTGATTCTGCTTCCTCTGACAGAGTGAGTGGCATTAACAGATATGGAAATGGAGGCAGAGAGGTTAAGTGACTTGCCCCAGGTCATGCAGCTCCTGGCAGGGTGGAAATTGGAACTCAGGTCTGCTCATTCATTCATCCGTCACACATCATGGTGGGGGTTGTAAACAGTGGGAGCAAGACAGACATGGTCCCTGTCCCCTTGTGAACCTGAAATTTGGCTGGGCAGACAGGTGCTGGATTGGCCCCACACGCTTGCCTCTGCGTGAGGCTGTCTTGTCCCTCAGGGCATCATGGAGCACGATGAGGTGACATAGGACTTGGTGGAAATAATAACAAGAGCAATGACAACGGCTAATGTTTAATAACGCTTACCACATGCCGGGAGCTGTGCTCAGCACCTCCCCCTGGTTCTGTGATTTCGTCCACTCAGAAGCCCATGATGCACAGGTGCTGTTATCATGCCCATTTCACAGAGGAAACAACAGAGGCTTAGGTTAACAGGCCTGACATTAGTTACACAGCCAGCCTGATGCCCAGCGCAGTGTCAGTGTTGCGGGGAACAGAGGAGGTGAGACTGGGCAGTCCCAGTCTAATGTTGGTGGGCAAGGCAGAGGTCAAGGTCAACGGCAGGAGCGACAATGACCCTTTAGTATCCAGAAGCGTTGGACTTCTGCAGCCAGTACCTGGGTCCCTGGGTGCTCTGAAGCTAACAATAATGGTCCCTTGCTGTTTCTCAGGGGCAGTGGGTGCAGAGGGTCAGCTTGGCGGGGAGGGGAAGGCCACGGCCTATGATAGACTTCACTCTGGTCTGGGGGTCCACCTTGAACTTAGGAGAGTTCAAATGTGGACCAGGGTGCAGCTGTGCTTCCCCCACCTCAGAGTATGTGATGGGGAATCCTGTGTGGGCACAGAAGCCATCGTCATTGCTGTCGTGTTTAGTTACTTGTCGGTCCTCCATCATCTGCATCGTCATGCACTGCTCAGGGGGCTCAGAGAGACCTGGGGACTGTCACCCGTGCTGGGTGGTAGCTCGGCTGCACACAAAATTACCACAAAGGGTGCTGGGCTGGCAGCCCGCCATCCTGCGCTGGCCCCACCCTCAAGGAGGAGCCTGACACAGGGGTAAGCCTCCCATGACCGACGACCGGCCAGGCTCCCCAGCCCCTCCTCAATTTGCACACTCCGTTCTTGGTCTGATAAAGGGGACACAGTTTCCTGTCAGATGCTGGAGCCCGCTGCACCTTGGAGTCATTTAATCCCTGGGGACAGTTCCCACTGGTCAGTATGGGGTGTCTGGAGGCCGAATCTGCAGCTCAGCTCTGCTGCCCACCAGTTGGGTAGCCTGGGCAAGCCAGTTCTTTCTCTTGGCCTCAGTTTCTTCAACTGTAAATGAAGATAAATGAAGACTTCTACTCCTTACCTCACAGCCCTCTTACAAGGAACTGTTAGGATTGTCATCAATAGAAATTGTAATAAATCTAGTATTTGGGGCCACTTTCTCGTGTAAGGCTCTCTGCTAAATGCTTTACCTTTGTTAATTTTTTCTAGTCCTTTCAACCACCCTAAATAAAGAGGGTGGTTGTCATCCCGATTTTATAATGGAGGAACTGGAGCACAAAGAAGTTAGGTGACTCAGTCAAGGTCACACAGCTAGAAAGTGGTGGAACAGGGTTCCCTGTCACCCATCCTGTTCTCTTTAGACTCTCTGTCTGACTATTCTCTTCTCTGATGTCCTGAAGAGTCCAAGCTCACTGTTTGGCTGGCTGCCTCCTCCAGGATGTTATTTTCTTGTGCATTTGATGTGAGCTGGGGCTTGGGGGCTCCATCTCTGCTCCCCTAGGTGTTTTGGGGAATCACTGGCCTGGGCCCAGTTTTCTCCCTTGGCTTGGGAGCCCTTGGAACATGCAGGGGGATAAAATTTGAGCCTTAAATCTGTGCAAAGACAGGAATGAGGCTCCTAGTTCCCGGGAGATCCCCGCTTCCCCACCCCTCACTCTCCCGCCCCCTGTTCACGCTGAGTCAGACCAGCTTGCTTGTTGGCTAGCCTTACTGGGGGCAGGGGCCGATATTCCAGCCTGCCCTCTCCCTGGGAGACTGTCTATCTAGTGCTATCTCTTTTCCAGTGTCCCACCTCAGCAGGGCTCGGGGCCTGGGCTCCTGCCCTCAAGGCCTTAATTCGAAAGCTCCCTCCTTTGCAGATCCCAGCAACAAGAGATGGCCGCATTCCTTCTGTTCCTACTTGCCCCTGCCCTGCTGGTGGTCAGCTCTGTCTTCAGGACGTGGCCCCGACGGGTTCCCTTCCTTCCTGTGAGCCCGGACAAGCACTAGTAAATATTAGGCAAAATTAGTAAATCTTAGTGAAAATTAGGCAGCATTTCTTAATTTCACAGAACAGAGCTGTTGTCGGGTATCCAGCCTGCCAAATTGCCAGCCTGTGTGCTTGTCTACCCTGTGGCTGCCCCCATCAGTGCTGCTCTGTGCAAGCCCTCTGTCAGGCACCTGCTACATACGTGGGTTCTAATACCAATACAGTAACGTGTGCAGAGCCAGGACCCCAGGAGGTGCTCGGATAATGCTGTTTGCAAGTCCCCAAGGTTGAGGTATACTGAGGGGAGGGAGCAGAGCCTCCACCGTGGAGTGCCCAGAGCAGGGCTGTTTGTGGAGTGAGGCCCGGGGCTAAGCATTGTGCACACACCCTCTGCTTTCAGTCCTTGGCAGCTCCTGCCAGGTGGGCACTGGCGTGCTCCACGTTTCACCGATGAGGAGACTCAGGCTCAGAGAGGAGAAGGAACTTGCCCAAGTCACAGTCAGTAAGTGGCAGAGCTGGGATTTGAACCACCGTGTTAACAGGGACGCCGTGGATGGGCTGGCACGGAATGTCAGAGCAAAGGGGCCCTGGCACAGTGAAGCCGTCCGGTCCAGCAGGTGGCCAGGCCGACGTGTCTGCAGGGCGGGAGAGCAGTGATTGCGACAAGGGGTTGGGGGCATAGGTTGTTTGTGTCTTAGCAGCCTGGGTGAGGGAGGCCATGAGGTGGGTGGGCTGGGAGGAAAAGGTCTGTCTGAGTGGGGTCTGAGTGAGCTGGGGCTTGAAGCCACTTGCAGGTTACCTCGTCCACTTCCTCCCTCTGCTTCAGCCATCCCCATCCCAACATCCTGGAACACCTCTTCCCGCCTCATCCTGCTTGGTCCGATGTGCCTCTTCTGCCTACTCTGGGTTCAGGGGCCTCTTCCTCCAGGGTGCCCTCCCTGAACCCCACCCCACCATGGCTCTGTGAGTGAACTTGCTGAGCACTCCCGCGGGGCTCACACCACACAGGGCGTCCCACAGAGTGCGCTGGGTTCATCTTCATCCTGGACAGTGGACTCTGCTCCCGAACCCGTTTTGCAGGTGGGGAGACTGAGGCCCAGAGAGGCTAAGAGACTGGGTGGCAGCACTCCTGCACCCTGGCTACTCAGGACCCTTCCACCCCCACTTAAAACCCAGCACCATCCTGCAGGGCCCTTGGAAATCCTAATACATAGCTCCCAGCCTCCTGCCAAGGCCGTCTCCAAACAGCTGGGAAGAACCTGTGGGTCCCCAGACCCCCCACTGAGCCTTCCTGTGGCTGCACCTGCCGCCCTTTCCCCTGACCGTGGGTGGTGCCCTCCCTGCTTCCCCAGCCCTTGCCTTCTGCATCAGACTGAGGCCTGGGGACACAGATGTGAAGGGGCCGGGTCCCAGGCTTCTCTGGAGATGCTCACAGTCTCGGAGAGGGCCACAGAGAAGAGGAGGGAGTGGACCTATAAATGGCAGGTGACACACAGCAGTAATAACATAATAACAGGGGCCACGAGAACGAGAGCTGCTGTGTCAGGCAGGTGCCATAAGCCAGGTGGAGCTGAGAGCTTTTCACAGACAAACTCTTACCGTTTTCTGTCATTGCCACGAGAAAGGTGCTATTGCAAAGTCCCCATTTTCCAGCCAAGGAGACTGAGACACAGGGAGGGATCATCGCTGGATGAAAGCCACAGAGCCAGAGATTGACATTCTTGGCATTTATCCCAGCTCTGGCTCCAGAGCCTGTGCACACTCTAGGTGTCCAAGAAATGCTGCTTCACTTTGTGTCGCCAGATACTGTGAGCGTCGTGCCCGTGCACAGTCCACACCGCCATGTCGAGGGCGGTCGGGAGTGGGTGTAATTGACAAAGGTCCGCTCGTCTGGCCTTCCAGAGCCTGGACAACCAGCACACATGCCTTTCTCCTCCACCGCCCAATCAACTCCCCAAGGACACTCGGTGATTGGGGATTGAATGGGTGTGTGCATGATGTGGGGTGCTCAGGCATGTCATCACAAGACAGAGCTCTCCTGGAGGGAAGGAATGGGAGCTCAGTAGATCTTTGTGGAGCCGTTACAGTGAGCTAGACTGCCTGCTTACCCAGGCTCGCCTTCTCCCAGGCTGCCCTGGGCCTGACCCAGTCTTTCCGCTCTTCTCCTCGCAGGGAGCCGGGAGGCTGCCTTCACGTACGCCATCATTGCTGCTGGAGTGGCCCACGCCATCACAGCTGCCTGTACCCAGGGCAACCTGAGCGACTGTGGCTGCGACAAAGAGAAGCAAGGCCAGTACCACCGGGACGAGGGCTGGAAGTGGGGTGGCTGCTCTGCCGACATCCGCTACGGCATCGGCTTCGCCAAGGTCTTTGTGGATGCCCGGGAGATCAAGCAGAATGCCCGAACTCTCATGAACTTGCACAATAACGAGGCTGGCCGAAAGGTAGGCAGCCGGGGCGGGGAACTGGGCGGCTCTCGCAGACCTGCTGCAAAACAGCTTATTCATGACGGCTGGTGTTGGGTCCTCTGTGATGAGCCACAGGGCTCTGCCCTTAGCCTCATTCTGCGTGACTGTGTTGTTGATTTGCTGCTGCTCGGGATTTGTGTATGGCCTGACGCTTGTCAGTTGCTGAAGAGGTTGAACAATTGAATCTCTCTTAAAACAGTTTGGGTGTAACTCAGCAACATGGAAAGAGGGACGGATGTGAACTCTTTTCCTTGGGTCCACGAAATCAGCTGTACAAAACTGTGTGTGGAGGGGTTGGGGTAAGTTCAGTAGGAGTCATTCCTATGGAGCAGCTGCCAGGGCCACTAACATGTCCTTGGTCACCTTAACCAGGATCTGGAGCTCAAAATAAAGGAGGTGACCGTTCCCTCTTCCCTGCCTCCTCAGATCCTCCTGAATTCTGGGCTCAGCTTAGAGAGAGTCAGGGATGTCCCAGGATGTTTCTAGTGGAGGTGGCTGGGTTAGAAAGTGGGCTGGAGCCCCATCCTGTGAGGAGCTGGCTGTCCCAGAGCAAGGGATCAGATGGCTCTGCAGGCCCAGAGTACAGAGTGATGGTTCATGGGCTGGGGGTGGGTCACAAGGAGGCAGGTCCTGCCAGGGTGAGGGCCAGCCATAGCCACTGAGAAATGAATTGAGTTACCAAGAAAGGAGTGAGCTCCCCATCCCGGGAAGTATTTGAGCAGAGGCAGCTTGACCAGGCATCTTGGGGCACCCAAGTCAGGGCCACCTGGCTCGGGCAGTGTCCTGGGCTGAGGCCTGAGGTTGGGAGTGGGCTCTGGAAGTGCCTGCAAAGGTCGAGGTGCTCAGAGCCCACCCTGGAGCCCCCAGGCCCAGGAGGTGTTGGGGGAAGAAAGATGTCTGATGTCGGGTCAGAGCTCCATAGAGGTGTCTGTGGGCCAGGATGGGCATGGAGGGAGCGCTCGATACCGCCTGTGTGGGAAACGGACCACTGCGGTGACAAGACATGTGGGCACCACCACCAGCCACAAACACGGGCGCCCAGTGGGGCCGGGCAGGAGCAAGAGTGACAAGAACGGGGGAAACCGTGCACAGGGCTATGGTGGCCAAGGAACACAGACCCCATCCATGGCCCCCAACTCGGCTCCAGCCCGTTGTGGCTATATGTGAATGCTGCTCAGGGGCAGCCGCATCCTCTGATTTTAGACTCAGATTTTTATGTGCGATCACTGTTTTCAAGTGTTGACATTTAAAACTGGTAGTCGTCAGTAACTCTTAAAAATTTAGAAAAAGTAAAAGAGAAGATTACCATAGGGGCTCAAACACACATCTCCTGGCTAAGTGTGGGCCTCAAGTGACAGATGATGAAGTGGCATGGCTCTTGTTCTGCTAGAGCATGTCTGTGGGCCAGCAGCCTTCTAGCTCTCGCTGCATCTGCTCACTTAATCTTCACGGCATCCCTACGAACAGTAGCATCATTATCCCCATTCTACAGGTGAAGAAACTGAGGCACAGAGCGCTTGAGTAATGTGCTGAGGGTCCCACAGCTAGTAAGATGAAAAGCCAGAATTCGAACCCAGTGTGTCTGGCTCTTGAGTTGGCATTCTTTGCATACCACAGGCTGCTGCGGCATGGCGGTCAGAGCGCCTGCTGGCAGTGGGCTGCTGGGATTCAGATCCCAGCTCTGTCACTCGTTCCTTCCCTGGAAGGAAGCAGAGCTGGCAGGAGTGTCCTCAGGGCTGAGGTGAGCAGGGAAGCAGACAAGGCAGGAGAGCCCTTACCCCAGGGCCTGGCACACACACAGTCCTCAGCACAGGGTGAGTGTGATTACACGTTGTGCAAACATGTGTCACGTGGGAGGGAGTCTGTCTGGTAAGTGGTGTAGGGGGTAACCTGCACACTTTGAAGAGGAGCAAGGCCTCTCGGCGTGTGGATGAATGAGAGGTGCCAACTGGCCCTTCTTCCGGCCTTCAGAGGCCTCCCCACCTCCTCCTTTGCAGCCTCTGGCCGCATCCCGTGCGTCAGAGCCTCGCAGGCTGTCACAGTGAGTCACAGGCAGAGCCGCTCACCTGGCCTGTCTCAGGATGAGGTCCTAGGGTACATTGCAAGGCCTTGCCTGTCCAGTCCTGTGGCTGGAGCTCCTGCCCAGGCCCAGCACATCCTCCAGGGTTCTCAGCTATCATTCCTGCCTGTTTCTGTGGTCAGGTCACTCTTTAGGGCTGAGGTCACAGGTCACAGGCTCCCTGCTGCCCTTGAAGTTCCCACTCCCTGGAGGTAGACAGAAGGAAGACAAGTGGCTTCCCTCTCCCAGGCTCAGTTTCCTCATCTGTGGCTACCTGGTTGGGCCACTGTGAGAATTAAAGGAGTGAGTGCCTGGCCTGGGGTAACAAGGGTTCAGTGTGTATCGAGTGGGAGAGGGTTTTATAAGCCACACAGCCCCAGCGGGTGTGAGGGCCACGGTTGCTGTTTAAGGCAGCTCTTGGGCGATGCAGACGATGGGAGCTGTCAGCAGTCAAAAGACCAACCTCAGGGAGCTTCCTGGAAGAGGTGGGCCCTAAAACATGAGTGAGGTTTGGCTAGGCAGAGAAGAGAGGTGAAGGCAACCCAGGTCTGGTGTGGGGAGGAGTGACCAAAGGCCCAGAGGTGGCTGCTGGGGCCGGTTCAGGGGCCCAGACTGGCTGGTCTGGGGGTCCCTGAAGGGGTAGCAGAAGCTGGAGAGCCTGGAAGGTCACCCGCCAGGCCGGGGAGTGAGAGCCTTGCACTGTCCCGCAGATCTTCCCGTGGTTGCCTTCTCCTCACTGTTCAGGTTTCAGCTCAGATTGCCCTCCTCAGAGAAGCTTCCCTTCTAGTTCCTTCCTAGCCTTTTCCTGGATGTTGCCTTGTTCTGGGCTTTCTCCCCTCCCTAAACCAAAAACTTGACAAAGACAGAGACCCCGGGTGTCTCATTCACAGCTGCACCCGGGGCCTGGCATACAGAGGCGCCCTCTATATGTACCAAGTGAATGGTCAAGTACGTTTTGGTCACTGGGGAGCCGCTATTGGTTCTAAAGCAAGGGAGGGGCAGAAGTCTCAGAAACTGACTCCAGGGAGGCGGAGTGGTGTCTTCGGTGGGGTCAGGGCCCAGGTCTGGGCAGAGTGCAGGCTGGGCCTGACCTGATGTTTCTGAGCAGGAACGGTCTCCCAGCTCAGGGAAACCCAGCTGAGGGGATGCTCCTGCAGCCTGCCCAATGCCACTCTGGCTCCAGAGGACCCTTGCCAGTGGCTTCCTGGGACAGCAGTCCAACCAGGCACTGTGTATTTTTCAGGGCCAAGAGGTGGAATTCAGGACTCCCCAGTGTGCACAGGGAAAGGCCTGACTAACCACCAGTCTGTGTCCTTTGTGGTATCGGGGTGCAAACAGGCCCAAAGAGGGTCCCAACTGGCCCTCAGGTACCCACAGCAGTGGCCACATCGCTCAGCTACAGCACAGTGGGAAGGTGGTCTCCCAGCCTAGCCCCGTACTCCTTGCCACAGGGCATCCCAAGAGCCCAGACACATATCCAAGTAGTCAGGAGCAAGGACCACCACCTCGCCTGGGGTGAGTAAGGCTCCGTGTGTCTCAGCTCTGGGTCCCATCCCTTCTGAATGCCTCAGTTTCCCCATCTGTCAAATGAGACTGTGACCCTTACCTTGTTCCGGATGCTCAGGACCAGGTGAGGGCACACATGGGAGACCCCCCGATCCTGCAGTGTGCCGTTTATTTAAAGGCCTGGGGCCCCATCCTAGAACCCCCAAAACAGGCCTTCATGAGCCCCACGCACGCACGGCGAAGTTGGGGAACCGGCAGCAGTAAAGGGGCCAGCCTGCAGCCGCTCCTGGCTGAGCTCTTGGAAAGGATCACAAATGTGTTTATCACCGGCTCCCTCCTCCTGCTGTGGGGAGACAAGACTCAACCTGACCACAGGCTCTGGGGCTTGTTGGCAGCTGGTGCAAGAAGAGGAGGAGGAGGCGGGGGGAGTCAGGGAGGGGATGCACGTCCCGAGGGGCAGAGGTGGTGGCAGGCCCGAAGACAGGAGACCCAGGGCAGCCCACCAACTCCCCTGGCGGAGGAGGGAGAATAAACGCTGTGGGGCACGTCCTGCTCGCACTCGTCTCCAGTTTGGGTCTGAGCAGGGCAGAGCCAGACAGAGCCAGGTGCTTGTCCGCGGATGTGGCCACGGGGCTAAGGAGGTGGGGGCAGCGCTGCAGGCCCAGGTGGGGGCTTTCCCTGCCCTCATTGTCTCCTGCAATTGTGTGGTCTGCAGGGTCGAATCAGGTAAGGTTAGAAGAGAGAAATGGGGGGTGCCAACAGCTCTTTTGGGATTTTAGAATCATAGTCTCTCTCTATTGGAGTTTTGGGGCCGTCGTATTTTTGGATTGAAATCACAGACTGTTCCGGTTGGGATTGTAGAACGTTAGGTCACATCCTCACATGTGGGGTTTGGAATCCTGGGATCTTCGGTTTGGACGGAGAGAGGCAACAGAAGTGTTGGGGTGAAATCCTTGGATGGCAGAATCCTTGTGGCTTTGATCATTTCTTTCCAGGCTTCTGTCAGTAGGGAGATGAACTAACCACAATTCTTGCCCTCAAGATGCTCAGTTTAGTGAGAGGGGCAGATGAGAGGAGCAAAAACAATGATTCAAGGCTGCACACCACTGGGAAATTGCAACACAGAAGGTGCAGAAAGGGGCTCAGATAAGGGAGGGGTTTCCTCTCGGAGCAGTCTGGAGACCTCTAGGGGGAAGAAGGGACTGCTCAGCAGGGCTTTGAAGGATAAGTAGGAGTTCTCCAGGTGGACAAGGCAGGTGGGGAGGAGGAGGGAAGTTCAAGAAGTTAACGGCATGTACAAAAGCATGAAGTCCTAAAAAAGTATGGTCGGGGGCTGCATGTGTCTGGGGAAAGGGAGAAATGGGTGGTGAGGCTCGGAGGGGGCTGGGGCCACATGCAGGGCCTTGAATGC